AATATCTATTTTTTCTCATTGTCCATTTGCAAAAAAAAATGTGTGAAAATTACGTCTATGAACACTAATGAGTAGATGTAGGTTTTCTGCTGGTTTGCACGTTCTGCTGTGAAGACTGGGTCAGTTTGTTATTCACCACTTAGTACTTGGTATGTAGCCTTTTCAGAGATAATCATTTAGTATTACTCCTGAAAGACTTTGACTTTCTAAAAAGTGCTGGATTGCCACGATTTTATAGAAAATCCCTGGTTTTAACTAAACGACATGGGTTTGAGTTTTGGTGATTTTTGTTTTTACTTTACAAAATGATGTTGTTTACTATCAAACAGTTATTATTATTATTATTATTGTTGTTGTTGTTCTATTTATTTTCACTTCAGTAAATACTTTCTGCTTTCAGTCACTGCTTGGTAAGATTTGGATGACTGAACTACTGGGTTAGGGTTGGACAAAGATCAGAAACAAACCAGTACCAGTACCAGTGGACATAAACATGTCTGTTGAAAATTGCAAACTCCATGTACCAGAAATATATATATACAATATTCAGTATAAAATATCACACCTGTTTGTTTTTCTGACCCATCTTCTCTGTGTGACATTGTTTCTCCCTGTTCTCTGTTAACCTTCTTTTTTTTTATTTCACAACTTTCAGTTTGGACTCTGTCACATAGACAGACAGGTATATTTTACAGTTTAATCTAGCTTTCTCTTTATTGATTTCCTAATATCCTTGTAATGTTTCATTAAATGTTCTGTGCCGTTATTTTACAAGGCTATCTTTTTTTTAGTTACACCCAGCAAGAGAGACTCAGAGTTTTTGCTGTTTTTATTTGAAGCTCAACACGCATGCAGTCGTCTTAAAAAAAAAAGAAAAAAAAGGAAATAAAATCACTGGAAGCATGAAACGTCTCGTGCATCGTTTCCTGTCATTGTGTTCATAACTTTCAGTTGTCCTTTTGTGTCAGTGTGACTAAAGAATAGTTGTTTTTTTCCCCTCCCAAGTGTGTTTTTTGAAATTTGTGGCCAGATGTTTGCAGTTTCTTCTCCTGATCTTCTACCCTTGTGTTGTCATATTGTCGTGGTTGTGAAAAGTGGTTTTACTAGTTTATTATCAGACTTGGTTGCTTCTCCTGTCGTTGTTCAAATGATGCACCTACTGTTGTCTCATGGCAAGTTTAGTTTGATGAATTGCCTTTTTATACTTTGTCAGAAATATATGTGGAAAAAAAAATGTTTAAACACAATTTTAACGATGTGTTGATCCCAGCAATAAATACCTTGTGCCTCACTTTTATTTATTTAAAAACTCACTTTGAAATGCTAAACATTAATATGTGTGGAATTGTATTATCCTCATGATTGGAAAACCAGAGACAGTATTTTTACAAAATATGAAACAAGTAATATGTAGAAATGGAATTCAAAAATTCAATAACTATTACTTTTAAGTTATTTCCTATGGGCTAAACATAACACACTTTGACACTGCTGATGTAATCACTTTACCTTAAAAGGTGGCCATTAAAGAAAAAAAAACTTCATAATCACCTACAAATGTATATATATTTGTCATTTCTGGTTTTGATTATTCTGAAAACACCATATTTATATCAGAAAACTACAGATATGTTTAAAAACAGTGCTTGAAAGAATAAAAAGGCATCAAATTGTAAAAATGACTTGTAATTTAGTTGTGTTATCTTTTTATTTTTTTAAAATCCTGGCTTCATTTAAATATGCCAAATTATAAACAATATACGTTTTTAAATTTTATAATAAGTAGATCAAATTTTTAATTGTTTCTAAATACAGAAAGTAAAAATACATATTTATATTGCTTCAAATGTAAATTAGAGCCAAACATAAATGTTCACTTTTTTTTAAACTTTACACACATGTGTACACACTGTTACAAACATAAGAAAATGATGATTATTGTCACCTTAAAATTCAGGTGATTATGAAGTGTGTGTTTACTCACAATATTTCACAAACCAGTCAGTACATTTTTATGAAACCCTTAGTAAGCACTCATTAAATAATAATAATAATAATAATAATAATAATAATAATAATAATAATAATACATCAAACTTATATAGCACTTTTTAGGGTACTCAAAGATGCTTAGATGATCTCCATTCCTAAGTGAAACTGGCTGTCACAGCTGATCAACCATATTAAACACAAAAATAGCTATAAATCATTTTCATTTTTATAAATATTGAGCTAAATTTTCGTGTGGAAGTAGCTGAGAGTTATTCACAATTCATACTCTAAGGGTTAAATGATCACATGAAAAAAGGAAATCTTTTTTTAAATTTATTTTCGGGCCACATTCATTTCAGTTAACTTTCTACAGAAAAATACATGCTGATTATATGAACAACCATAATCAAGTTATTTATTAAACTATAATTCAAATTTATTTTCCCTTTTAATGCTATTGACACTTATAAACTCTAACTAAAAGTTTTCTTGTCTCTTAGTCGGAACGAGTCGCCAAAACAGGTTTTAGTTGCAGTTTGATCAAACGGATCTTGTATTGTTTCTTAAACTATAAGAATTTCTTTATGTGGCAGTTTTCAGGAAATACTGTGACCATCCACTTTTTTTGTCCTTTTTGTGTTCTTTTGTTTTTTTCTTTTTAAACAGACACCAACTTCGTCCTGGGGAACGCCCAGATAGTCGACTGGCCCATCGTCTACAGCAATGACGGTTTCTGCAAGCTGTCGGGCTACCACAGAGCAGAAGTGATGCAGAAAAGCAGCACCTGCAGGTAGGCAGCTTTTATTACTTATTCTCTTGATCAGTTCTGACCATGAAACTTTCTATTTAAAACCGTTTCGGTGTTGGGTTGAGATGAATCATTTTGACAGATTTTATAGCATCAAAATTACCCCCCCACCCAAAAAAAGTCTTGTGATTGAGAGTGATTTTCTGCAGCTGCTGAAATAATTATGCAGTTTCTGCTGTTACCCCATTCAGACAGGGTGGCTTATAATGTTTGCTTTAATCAAGTCAGTTTAAATGCTGACAATAAAAGCTGTGTGTGTGGAATCACGACAATCAGATGGGAGAAGGGTAATGGACTGAGTGTGACTTAATCTAAAAATACAATTTGGTTCTTTTGTAGTTTAGTCACATAAGAGCCATTTTTACGGTATTTACACCTCTTACTACCGAGCGCAAATTGTTAATTTAGCCTGAATAATATATATGTGTATATTGCTGTGTGTGGTCTTAAAGTTTCTATTAAACACTGCGAATATTTTTCTGTTGGGAGGAGAAAATGAAACTTTAGAGGATGTTGTAATTGGTGCTTACAGATCCCAAGAGTTTATATTCAGTGTTTTTAGACTCGTTTTTCTTTGCTTATTTCTTTAATCAGCAGAACTTCTGCTTCTTAAGGGAGTGAGCTACCTCAAATCTTCTCCTGCTTTTATAATTTAAAGGTATTCCCTTACTGCGTTTCATACAACTTGACAGTATAAATTATCAGCATTTTTTTGCAGTCTCCTCATACAACTAAAATATCTGAAAAAGGCTAAAAGAAGGACTAATGGTAGAAAAAAGTGTCGTTCCTCAACAAGAAATATAGAAAACAAAAAGGCAGATGGAATCTGTAGCTGGTGTCAATCACTTTGTCTTCTGCTGCTGTTGTGTTTTTATCCTGTGTGAACATGACACCCTCTTTTAAAGAAACCCACCAGAGGGAGGGCAACCTGCAAGTCATTCTCTAGAGATGATGTGTTTTAATGCGTTATAGGACAACAAAATAATCAGCTGATGATTATTTTATGATGACTTGAAAGCCGAGCGTTCCTCTTTAATGCTCGTCTTACAATCAGTTGAAAACTAAAATCAACATATGTTGAGAAATAACAGAATTGTAATCATTTAGGTCAGAACTTTAAGGTAAAGCACAGTTTCATATGATATATGTGTTGTGAGTGACTCTCAGCTACTACCAGATCAAATTTTTGCTCAATAGCTGTGAAATTGACTGAGATATACTGTATCTAAAATTAGCACAATAGTCAGTGAATTTGTGGGTAGATTATTTCTTTGTTGTAACAATGCTTCTTAGCAATAAAACTTATAATGTTGGAAAGTCTTTTATTTTCTCTTTTAAATGGTGTCACATTTGTAAGGAGCATGCATCTGTGGGATGAGCAGTAGAGCTGATTATGTGGGTTGCGCACATTAAAGATTTGCCTAATCTTCTCTACCAAACAGTTTATTTTGTTGTTTCTATTCACACTTGTTTTGAGCTTCTGTCACCCTTGGATTCTGCCAATCAGGTGCCCGCTATGAGATTTATTGCTTAACATTGTTACAACAAAGATATAATCACTTCTTGTGCTGACTATATGTTTATGTTGGCTTTCTGAAAGTGTCATTAAAATCCGTCCAGTGGTTCATTTTGCTGACAGACAAACACGATTTACTCTTTCAGTTATTGCTAAAGTTTTAAGAAAGATTTTCCACAGTGAGTTGCACTTAAACTTTTAAGTCGTGAAAGACTCTCAGCTATGATCGCAGCAAATTTGAACACAATATCTTTAAACTTGGCTGGATCATAGCCGTCTTTTGTTCCTAATCTCCGTTTGAGTCTGTGGCAGCCATCTTTAATTGGGCTGGCTCAATTAGAAACCCTCTAATTGTTTAGCGAAAGTTTCATAATCAAAATCTGTTTGGTGGTTCATGAGATATTTTGCTAACAGACACAAACACGAAGGGCAAAAAAAAAAAAATTGCTTTCGCCTTTTATCAGCATGTCTTAAAAACCTACCAAGATGGCTACAATATGACTAAACACCTGGTTTAATGCAAGTCGTCTTCTTTTGGGAGGCACGTTATGTATTCAGTTTCACAGAAATTTATTCCCTCGCTGCTGAGATTTGAAGGTAGACCAAAGATATGATAACTGATTGACTTTGACAGAGTCATGTCACCGGCGAGGCTTAAGGGCAGCGCTATGACAAACCGATAAATTATTCATTTATTAAACTTCAAGCAGCTGTCAATTAAGTCAAGCGCTTGGGGTAATTAGCCCAATGATTAAAGTGTGGGACACGGTTCAAGAAGGTCACAGCTAAAACTGAAAGCATGAAAGATCTTTCTCTCTCTCTCTCTCTCTCTCTCTCTCTTTTAAACAAATCTGAAAGAAAAACAAAAAACCCTGAACACTGAACTTGATATTTTCAGAAGTAAAAAAGGGACAATCTGGTATGTTCCCGGTTGCAGAAAAGCGATACCGTTGGATCAGATCTGTGATGTAATCTAACAGCCCAAACTGCACCACTGTAACTATCAAACCATAGACATACAATGTCTCCTGTGTGGCCCCCGCTCCAAAACGCTAATCACAAATCGGTGAAAGCAAACGAGCAATATTCCTATCTCAGCGAACTATTTCTGTACTTGGTGCTTTTTATGCCTGCAATAAGCCAGTCACTAACCATATAAATAGGATTGCAGTCGGAGCTGCCAGATTTGAAAACCGTGGGAGATTTCATCTGTTGTGGGAGATGGTGTTCGTCACAGCTAGCACACCGGCTAGTACTATTTTAGACCTGCGGGTCTCTGAGCATAAGCTTCAGAACGCTCGCCAACGCAAACATAAAAGCGTCAGATGGTTTGTTTAAGGTTTATTTTCACATCGCTGAAGGGAGATGTTGGGAAGAGGAAGGAAAACAAACCTAGAAATGTCCGGACTGAATCAAAGAGCTGATTAAAGGCATTTTCCGAACACATAACAATGACAAATGAGTATGGAGGGCACTTTATAACCACTACCTGGCAATTAATGAATCATTAATGAGTAATACCTCCAAACCATGAAAAATGGTCTGTGTAATGAGGAAGAAAGGAACAGAGAGGCAGGTTCTGGCTTCATTCCTCAAGCTTTAGTAATAAAAACTGTAAAAATTAAATGGCTACCAACAACTGGTGAGAGCGCAAAATGAGTAACTTACTAAATTTATTAGAAGAAATTAATAAATTATCCCTAAAAGATAATGGATAAAAAAAAATAATGGTATGGCTCAAACTGACCATATTAAAACATTTAAAAATACATAAATAAATTAAAGACGTAGCATTTGGTAAATGGCTTGAACTTATATAGCGCCTTCTCAAATCCACTTGGACCCCAAGGCACCGTCCACTTCAGACATTCATCCATGCACACACACATTCACACACTGATGATGGTAAGCTACGTTGTAGCCACAGCTGCCCTGGGACACACTGACAGAGGCGAGGCTGCCATGCACCGGCGCCACCGGACCCTCTGACCACCAT